AGTTTGGCTACATGCTCGACACACAGGGCGGTAACTCGGGGTCGCCCGTCTTCTCGACCAAGGAGAACGTCGTCGTCGGTCTCCACAACTGCGGCGGCTGCGAGAACGGCGGCATCAAGATCAACAAGGTTGTCGACATCCTCAAGGCCAAGAACTTGGTCCCGAAGGACGCCATTGTCAACACCAAGCCGGCGTGCTAGTGAGAAAAGTCGACGATAGTGGAGCTGTAAACGCTGCAGAATTTTGATTTGTTTTTGGATCGTGCACGGAGGGCACTTGTCAAAGAGAAACGACGGAGCAAAGTGCGTTCCAAGATTGCAGCCAGGCGTTGGATTCTGGTATGGAGGAATTGAAACTAGAACCAGATTCCGACTACGTCCTACGATGGAAGAACGAGAAGTGTGTCGAACGTCGACTACCCGGAAGCTTGGCCAATTGATCCGTGACTTGGTCGAAGGCTGTGTTCACACAACGTGTCCCGCACGTGCAAATTCTGCAGGCGGGCACACGGAACTTGCAAGCGTCGCACGACTGAAAGGCGAGTTGTGGTGGCGCGAGTTGTATGTCAAATAAAACGATTTGGTTGCCATTCATGTAAATAGCGAGCGTCCTGCTGAGCGAAATCGTTGCCCGCCAGCGCTGGCGCCTGCTGGGCCGCGTGCTGCGCCTGGAGAAAGGCGTATCTGCCAACGTTGCCGCCGTCCGCTGCTTTGCCCCGCCCGAGGCACCCCGTTTTTCAGGCCGCGCCAGGATGATCACATTGCCGATCGTCTAGCACCGCGAACTCCAGTCGCTGACGCCGCCTCAGTCGCTGGCGTCTCTCGAGGACCTCAACAAACTGCGCAGCTTTGCCGCCGACGACAAAGCCTGGCAGACCTTTTCAGAGCTTGTCGTCACGAGCCTCATCCGCGGCCGCGCGCCCCCGAGGACGACTATAGAAGAGCAAGATGAGCCGCCGCCTGCGCAGCCACGGCCCGGTGAGCGAATGAAGAAGAAGGAGATTGCTAGTCTCTACGTATGCAAAGTGTTTTTAACAGCAAAGATAACGTTCATATATATTCGTGTTAGTGCAAGAAGCGCTTGGATGGAGTCCTAGTACGAACTAACGGTATCGTCAGGCGATGGTGCGACGCCCGGAGCAGGATTTTGCGAGGAACGAACCCGGAGGTCATACCTGGTACACCCGAAGGCATTAGGAAGCAGTGTTTACATCACCTGTATCGATGTACTATACTCCTTCTGGACTACGGTCTCCTACTGTACACAAAGCCAAACGCTTCGCCCCGATGATCGGTATTCCGACGACGATTCGAACTACCCTAACCCACCCCGAGACATGTGTATGCACCGAGCGCTGCGCCGGGAATCCCGGTGTCATACCCGACGCAGCTCAATGCCGATTCTAGAGCTGCCGATTGTACTGACGTTGGAGTCGAACTGTGAACCACCTAACACTTCTGGTGTCGCTCGCGCCCGATTCGCCAAAAGTGGACCGAGGAGGACTGCACCGGCACGGCTAGGCCCTTTCTATTCTCAGATTATCAGACGATCGTCCAGGTGGTGGGTGGTGGGTGCTTCTCAGTGGGTTTTTACCGCGCGTTAATCGTCTGATCCATTGCGTTTTAGCATTTCACTTCGCCAACGTCGCTTTCGAACGTGGTCGTGCGTAGACGATAAAGAAAAAACCTATTTGACCACAATTGCCACCAGATATTGTCTACCAGCACCAACTCAGATGACTTGATGGCGATATACTGGTACAGGAATCCAAACCATGCGTGGCACCTCTCCACCACGGAGACCCACAAGAAAGCAGGACGCGAGGATGGGACGTAGCATCATCCCTACTGCCATCGGAGCATTCGATTCGCCGTTAATACTCTTTTCAGCATGCAATGAAGGCTCGCTGCGGCACTCACGGTGACGATAATGGATACACTTCGTCGTTACCCCAATCTTGGCGCGAAGTGATACCATCTGTTTTGGCTAGCCCAATGACATGTGGCCATGCAGCGGTCAACTCAGATCCACGAACTCAGATTTCGCAAGTCGCAGGATAAGCCCACGGGCTGGGGTGTTCGTCCAACGAGCTCACTTTCCATTTTGCCTTC